CACACACTCACTGAAACACAGCTGCCACATCCAGCGTCTGGACCTTGGTAATTTCTCAGCCCTTTACGGTACTCAGGTGATTAAAAATTGAACAAAAGAACTTTTCGTGCCTGGAAGTGGGCGCGAGCGACTAGCGGTCCGATTTGTTTTTTATTTGCAAGGAAGCAAACAAGAAACAGGTCAACTTTCACGCACGAAACCAATCACACTTCCTTCCTGGTGTTCAAATTAGCTATCAGTCACTTTAACCTGGGTGAAAAATAATCACAAGTGGCTGCCCAAACTGGGTCACGAGTTTAACTGCGCAGCCGCCAAGCTAACTGCTCATGTCGAAAGCAAGATAAGCCGAGAATCGATTAAAGCCTTGGCCTCCGACGAGGACTCAGTCCATCGATTTATTGATCAGGCGCCGACATGTAGATCCCCGCACACAGTCACTTATCGGCCTGTGGCGTAGCCTTTTCGATGATTGGCTACTGACCGCCTCTAACGGTCCTTCGCTCCGTCGCTGCTGCCTTCTCTTAAGGCGGACGGTCAAGTGCCTGATCAATCTCATTCTTCACTATTCAATCGTCTTCCTATGTCTTCGGCATGGCGCTTCAAGAGCGGTCTACGAAACGAAATAATTATGTTGCTACCGATCATACCGGTGAGCTTGCGCGAAATATCAGCAAATATCGAATTATAAACCTAACCCGACAACAATCGAATAGGTAAGTCCCTATTGTTTTTTTTTACTATAACATGCCTGCTAAGTGTATTTAGGCAGATATTTTTTTATAATATTTACTTTTGTGGCTGAGATTAAAAAAATTATCAAAGCCTGAGTTAAAGGTAGGTATAAGGCTAGGGTAAGGTTAGCGATCAGAGTCAAGGTTGGGATTCAGTCCAGGGCATGGGCGCAGCAACCGTCCACAATGCATTTGGCTTTACCTCTAATTCTGGGGAAATTAGGGTTAAGATTAACTGGAGACTTAAGATGGAGTTTAGGGTTAGGTTACAGGCTGAGGCCAACGTCCGTACTTCTTTGTACAGTTTCCTTTTCCAAATTCATTCTTTTTTCACCTGAATTTCTCTGTATGCTAGTTTGGATGTACTAACGGATAAACCTAACAGTCAACTTCGAATTCGAGCTAGGTGTCTTCTGTTATCGCTGTTGCATGCTATCGAGTCTTCGTTAATTGAGCTCGTCTGCCTTAACCACTCTTAGCCAATATCGTCCGTCGATTTGCATCCCTCTATCGCATTCCCAGCCACAGAAATCTATGAATCTCTTCTCGAGCCAATTTGCGTGAGTCTGTACTACGATGTTGTCATTTCTGTTTTTTTTTCTTTTTCCGTCCTTTTTTTACTGTAACTATTTGTAGATTAGTCCCAACTTTCCCCACTTAGTGTTATGTTTTGTTTTCCTGCATATATTACCCAATTTATAGTTTTAATTGTCGTTTTCACTGCAATTCGCGCTTAGGATCAGAGTGAGGATTATGTTAAGGGTTAAGGTTTGCGATCTTGTTAACTGTAGGCTTTAGGTTTTAGGAAGGGCTAGGCTTAAGATTACGTTTACGATTTACTTTTACGTGAGAGTTAGGGTTGGCGTTAAGACACGGGAATGTTCACCCTTCCTGTTTCGTGTTTCGTGGCTCCGCCGTCTCTGTATCCAGTAGTGACGCTTACGTCAAACTACAATGATAGCGACCATCAATGTCGGTAGAAGCTAATTCACGAGTTCCAGTAAGCAGTTCAGAAGTAGAAGACGCGATTCCTGGAACAAGACCCCAACAATCAATTTCGTACGGTACTATTAAACAAGGGCACTTGTATTACCGAGGGAGGGGGGAAGCCTCCTACTTCTATATCTTGCCATCTGGTTACCTCACACAGTCATAGCTGGTCTTTGCCCTTTTGATTTGTGTTGGGCCATTAACTAGGAGAAAAATAAGCTTTTAATTTCAAAAGGATCATCAAATCAAAGTTCCCTCTTGGTGGAGACAGTCATCCAAAAGAGAGAGGGAGGAAGAGTGACTAAAAGTCCTTTGAGTGAATGTAAAGAATGAAAAAATTCAGCTGATCGGAAGGTTCTCCAAAATCATGCGAGATCAAACAAAGGGAAGTAGATTGTTGTGCTTGAGTTTACTGCTCACTCCGCATCCTCTTCATTGGAGCTGTCACGTTTTTCACCTTTATTGGCGCTGTTTCGAGTGCTCAGACTAAGTGGTTGCGGGTTGTAGCCACCGAGGCCTCCATAACCACCAACCAAGGCTGAGAACCAGTCTGAGCTCGGTGGTGCTGTGAACCAGGACGCTGTCGTCTGCCGTTGTCCTGGCCACACAGATGGCCGATTTGCCGACGTCGCTGATTGGACGGAAACAGAGGGTGGTTGGAAACGGAGGTCGTACATCGGGTACCCAACGGTTTGAGCGTACGGCTGCGGAGGTGGAAATACCAGAAAGTTAATTGGTTGTTGGACGGGCGTGAGCAGGGGAGAGCAACACTGAGAATTTATTGACTCTGCCTTGGCCGTCCTGGATTGGCCATTCAGCCGTGGCCACTGGGCGG